CTGACACTTCATCAGTGAGGTTTTTACTTTACTGGTTTAATCTCCGACTTCTTTTAAGAGAAATCTTAGTTCTAGAGAACTGGATTGTAAAAATTAAATACTCTCTTAGGGATCTGGATTCTGTACTTGACCCATGACCTGTGCTGGGTGCGCTCAGTCGCTGTCGTGTCTGACTCTGCGGTCCCCTGGACTGTGACCGGCCAGGCTCCTCGGTCCACGGGGACTCTCCAGGCAAGAATACAGCAGTGAGTGGCCATGCCCGCCTCCAGGGGTCGAACCCAGGTCTCCGCACTGCAAGCGGCTTCTTTACCATCCGAGCCGCCAGGGAAGCCCTGATTCATGACCTAAGCTATACATGTTTACAGGCAACTTAAGAAATCATTAATTATGTTATATGACAATATGAAATTCGGCTGAACCTTGAACAACATAGTGTGAATTGCACAGATTTTATGCAGATCTTTTTTCCCATAAATACATTCTATAGTTCTACAAGATCCACAGTTGATTGTATCTGAAGATACGGAACTGCCATGTAGGAGGGCTGACTCTAAAGTAATAAAGGAATTTTGCACTATGTGAGCCCATGTCTCCAAGCCTCTCTACCTCATCTCATTGTTCAAAGGTCAACTGTATATTTAAATGTCTTAAAGTGCTTGGTTTTGTGCCAGCAGTTCTGGGAATTTACCCTAAGGAAACAGCAAATCATGCATGTCAAGATTATGAGCACAATAAGAATTAGGATGTCATCATTATTAATACCTTCTTTTTTTTTTGCCATACTGCACTGGATGTAGGATCTTAGTTCCCCAACCAGGGATTGAACCCATGGCCTCTAGAGTGGAAGCATGGAGTCTTAACCACTGACCTTCCGGCTAAGTTCCCATTATTAATATTTCTGAAAAGTATAGGCTCTCTAATATAATTTCTGGTATCTTTCTTTGACTATTAAAGGATATCCTTTAGAGCTGAGTAGGAGGTTTTCGAGATTCTCCAAACATATCTTGCTTTTGTTGCTACTTTTTAAAAAATTTTTATTATTTATTTATTTTTGGCTGCACTGGGTCTTCCTTGCTTCCTTTCTCTAGTTGCGGCGAGCAGGGTCTACTCCCCATTTGCAGTGTGTGCGTTTCTCCTTTCAGTGGCTTCTCTTGCTGCAGTGAAGCATGGGCTATAGGCTGCTAGGGCTTCAGTAGTTGTGGTGCACAGGCCCAACTGCCCCCTGGCGTGTGGAATCCTCCTGATTCAGGGATCAAGCTTGTGTCTCCTGCATTGGTAGGCCAGTTCCTAACCACTGAACCACCAGGGAAGTCCACACCTTGTTTCTCAACCAAATCTACAGAATGTCACTATAAAAACAAATGACATAGTCTTTTGGAATGTGTTTTTAATAAGATATGCTGGTTAAAATCCAGAATCAGTTTACATCTCTGCCGTATCATCCAGTTGTTTTTTTTTTTTTTTTTCTTCATCTTCAGAAATTATATTTCTAGGAAAAAATGTTTTGGCATTTTCAGCCTTAACATTTATAGTTTCACTAATTTTGGCATTTCCCATGGTGTCTGCCACACAGTTATTTGTGATTTCTGTTAAAGCATAAACATAAATAGTGGGTGCTGAGAGGCCAGGAAGCAGGCAGAGCCAGTCACTTTGTTGGTCTAAGCCAAGCACAGTTCTCAGCTGAGGCCAAACCCCATCTGACTTTGTGGTGCCAGGGGTTAATATCTCAGAGTCAGAAACACTCCCCAAGTGATTAAAAGTAAGAAAAGTGGTTCTTGGTAAAGAATAAAATCCAGTAGGATTTTAAATTTTGGTGAATGCTAGAAATGTAGCAAATGTTATTTGAATGGAATGTCTGGGAAGGAACCCTTTGATACTAAAAGAAATAGGACAGTGAAAGCAGTGAAGCATCGCAAACGTGCGGTATCTATAAGGCAGAGAGCAGCCATGGTCTGTCTGAACTTACGCTCAGTCATGTCGGACTCTACACCCCCATGAACCGTAGCACTCCAGGCTCCTCTGTCCAAGAGATTCTCCAGGAGGAATACTGAAGTGGGTTGTCATTCCCTTCTCCAGGGGATCTTCTCAAACCAGGATCAAACCCAAGTCTACTGTATCTCCTGCACTGGCAAGCAGATTCTTTACCTGAGAACCCCTATCTTACCTTGGGGCTTCTCAGGTGGCGCAGTGGTAAAGAATCTGCCTGCCAGTGCAGGAGGCAAGAGACCCAGGCTCCATCCCTGGGTCAGGAAGATCCTCGAGAGTAGGTAATGGCAACCCACTCCAGTGTTCTTGCTGGGAGAATTCCATGGACAGAGGAGCCTGGTGAGTTACGGTTCATGGCGTCACAAAGAGTCAGACATGACTGAGGACACACACACACACAAAACTTAGTTACAAATGCATTTTGGTTTTTTAATAGTAAAACAGGCTTATAATTCAACATTCAAAAACCTAAGATCATGGCATCTGGTCCCATCACTTCATGGCAAATAGGTGGGGGAACAATGGAAACAGTGACAGACTTTATTTTCCTGGGCTCCCAAATCACTGCAGATGGTGATTGCAGCCATGAAATTAAAAGACGCTTGCTCCTTGGAAGAAAAACTATGATCAATCTAGACAGCATATTAAAAAGCAGAGACATTTCTTTGTCTGCAAAGGTCCATCTAGTCAAAGCTGTGGTTTTTCCAGTGGTCATGTATGGATGGGAGTGTTGGACTATAAAGAAAGCTGAGTTCTGAAGAATTGATGCTTTGAACTGTGGTGTTGGAGAAGACTCTTGAGAGTCCCTTGGACTTCAGGGAGATCCAACCAGTCCATCCAAAGAAAATCAGTCCTGGATATTCATTGGAAGGACTGATGCTGAAGCTGAATACAATAATTTGGCCACCTGATGCAAAGAACTGACTCCTTGGAAAAGACCCTGATGCTGGGAAAGATTGAAGGCAGGAGGAGAAGGGGACAATAGAGGACAAGATGGTTGGATGGCATCACCGACTCAGTGGACATGAGTTTGAGTGGGGTCTGGGAGATGGTGATGGACAGGGAGGCCTGGCGTGCTGCAGCCACGGGGTCACAGAGACAGACATGACGGAGCGACTGAAGAACAAAGAGAATAAATGTTCTCTCCTTCCTTCTTGCTGCTATTTTCTAATTATTTTAAACTTGGAAGCATCTGATTTGGGGAGACTTTTGTTATGTTTTTTAACTCATCTAATAAAAAAGTAGTGATTTCTTTTTGTCTTCTCCTTCCTGGGTAAAATCAAACTATTTTTCTGACTCCTTTAGATGTTCTTTGAAATGGAGTCCTTTCAATTGAGCTGTTTACAATTGAAGCTGATCCCTTCCATGTTGAATAATGACCATACATTTTGATTTTAGGTCAGGATTGACTTCCAGAAATTTCATAAGGCTTCCTAACCCCCACAAACAGCCCCCTCATTATATTATACTGAAATAGTCTGGCTCTTGGAAAAGATATTTAACATATTATAATTTATTTCATTATTCCAGAGTGTATATCCCACAAAGTTTGCAGTAAAAAATGAAAAATGTATAAAAATTACCCAGTAATAATCATAAGATAGAATACTGTAATTTTACGGGTCTGGCACATCTACTATATCTATACTTCATCTTAGATCATGAATACAAAATCAGTCCAAAATCGAATTGCTTCACTTGGTTCTTCTGATTGCAATGACTTTAGCTATGATAAAGCCTCTATCCTGTAGGAAAAGTACTGTATATATGTTTGGCATAAGATTCTATAATTAATATGTTGTTTTCAGCATATTTGACTTTGCTTGTAACACAAAATTTTGCAACATGTGAACTCAAGCAGAAACATACAATGTGTGAGGCAAATAGAAAAGGTAGTAAGATGTTAAATTTTAACCAAATATTCCAGCAATTACATTAAAATTTTATTTTATTTATTTATTTTTTTCATTTATTTTTATTAGTTGGAGGCTAATTACTTTACATCATTGCAGTGGTTTTTGTCATACATTGAAATGAATTAGCCATGGATTTACATAAAGTAAATATTGTAACTAAAAGACAAAGATGCTGATTCATGTTGATGTATAGCAGAGGCCATCACAATACGTAATTATCCTCCAATTAATACAAACAAATATCTTTTAAAAAAAGATAAAAGTTGCTAGACTGAATAACAAAAAAAGCTTAAGTATATGTCACTTAAAAAGAAAGGTTTACTTTGAAAGTAAAACCACAGATAATTTTAAGGTAAAGTACACCCCCATGTTTTCAAGTGTTATTATATCAAATAAAAGAAACCTGATCTCCAAGAAACATCATTAGAAATAAAGGTGAATGTTTCATATTGAAAAAATACATATACACACCAGAATGATAGAATAATTCTGAATTTGTTTGTACTTCAATTTATGGGCTTAAAAACATTATAGGAAACATTGACAAAATGAAAATTTCCTATCATAGTGGGAGATTTTAACATGCTTTCTCTCCAAAACTAATGAAACTGACAAAATACATGATAAGTATATAGATGATTTCAATAGCACTATTAAGAAACTGGATCTTATAAACATAGGGGACCATTTCACCTAACAACTGCCAAGTATATATTCTTTTCAAAGGACATGGGACACCACCCCCAGTGGCCACATGCTGGGGTTTAAAGAGACTGGAATTGTATCAACTGTACTCTTCGATGGGTATGAAATTAAGGAGAACTTAATAGTAAGTAGGTAACTAGAAACTCCGTCTAGAGAAAGGAGAAAAATTAGGGAGATGGAACAAGAAGCCAGAGAGACGGGCAGAATCTAGATTATAAGAAGGCTTAAGTCATCCTAAGGTGTTCATATCCTAACAGCTTCGGGAGAGCAATAAAGGATATATATCTTGGGATTGGTGTAATCAAGATTGCACTTTAAAATGATCATTCTGGTTATGTCTGTGTTGATGGGAGATGAGAGTTAGACTGAGCAACGGTTTGGCGCAGGGAAATGCTAGAGACCAGAGGCCTGTCCGGGGGTGCTTGCTCTACTAGATTTAGATGAGGCAGCTTCTCTGACTAGAACTGTGGCCTGGTGCGCCTCTCGGCGGGACGCCTTGGACCTTTGGTGCTGTTTGCCTTTCAGCCTCACAAGCATGTGCCCTGACCACTTGTGTGAGTGCATCTTCTGGATGTTAGATTTCACTAAGTGCTTGCTGTTACTCTTCACTGAGACGATTTGTTCTCGACCCTTCGCGGTCTCCTTGTCCTCTTCCGGGTACCTGGGTTTTCTTTGCATCTCTGCCATAAGCCCGTTTCCACTCCCAAGGTTGCTAAGCTTGGATACTTCATTGCTGTCAGATGAGCTCTTCTCAGCCCTTTCTTCTGGCTCCAGACGCCTCACACCTGTATACACACTGTCCTTTCCAGAAGCGAATCAGACGGGAGTTCCCGTCTGAAGCGCAAGCACTATGCAACAGGTATTAGGACTCATGAGCCAGCTCACAACCAGCTGAATTATAACAGAGCTCGAAACTAAGACACTGAACAGTGGACATTAGGGACAAATTCTTTCAAGTTATTTAAAGTTTAAGATGTGATCAGACGATTATGTTACTAGAGCAACAGACTATAGTGAAATATAGCCAGAAAAACTAACAAGACCGTTTCACAGACTACTAGAGCAGAAAGAACTTTTAAAATTATCTATGTGGATTCCCTGTGTTCTGCTCCAGTATCCTTTAATGATTACACAGCAGTCATTGTGCTGTATACTCACAAAGGAAATATGATAAGCAATAAGGAAACAACCTTTTTTTTAGTATAAGTAACTAATCAATTGAAATATTGGCTAATTTCCCTCACACCACTTATTGTGGTGAAATTATCCTGCATCACCATATTATCATCACCAGACGGTCAATACCAAAATCAGACTGATTATTTTCTTTGCAACCAAAGATGGAGAAGCTCTATACAGTCAGCAAAAACAAGACCAGGAGCTGACTGTGGCTCAGATCATGAACTCCTTATTGCAAAATTCAGACTCCAATTGAAGAAAGTAGGGAAAACCCCTAGATCATTCAGGTATGACCTGAATCAAACCCCTTATGATCACACAGTGGACGTGACAAATAGATTCAGGAGATTAGATCTGATAGACAGAGTGCCTGTTAAACTATGGATGGAGGTTCGTGACACTGTACAGGAGGCAGGGATCAAGACCATCCCCAAGAAAAAGAAGGGCAAAAAGGCAAAATGGCTGTCTGAGGAGGCCTGACAAATAGCTGTGAAAAGAAGAGAAGGGAAAAGCAAAGGAGAAAAGGAAAGATCTACCCATTTGAATGCAGAGTTCCAAAGAACAGCAAGGAGAGGTAAGAAAGCCTTCCTCAGTGATCAGTGCAAAGAAATAGAGGAAAACAGAATGGGAAAGACTAGCGGTCTCTTCAAGAAAATCAGAGATACCAAGGGAACATTTCATGCAAAGATGGGCACAATAAGGACAGAAATGGTACGGACCTAACAGAAGCAGAAGATAAGAAGAAGAGGTGGTAAGAATACACAGAAGAACTGTACAAAAAAGATCTTCACCACCCAGATAATCATGATGGTATGATCACTCACTTAGAGCCAGACATCCTGGAATGTGAGGTCAAGTGTGCCTTAGGAAACATCACCACAAACAAAGCTAGTGAAGGTGATGGAATTCCAGTTGAGCTATTTCAAATCCTGAAAGACGATGCTGTAAAAGTGCTGCACTCAATATGCCAGCAAACTTGGAAAATTCACCAGTGGCCACAGGACTGGAAAATGTCAGTTTTCATTCCAATCTCAAAGAAAGGCAATGCCAGAGAATGCTCAAACTACTGCACAATTGCACTCATCTCACACACTAGCAAAAGCTCAAAATTCTCCAAGCTAGGCTTCAGCAGTACATAAACCATGAACTTCCAGACATTCAAGCTGGATTTAGAGAAGGCAGAGGAACCAGAGATCAAATTGCCAACATCTGTTAGATCATCAAAAAGGCAAGAGAGTTCCAGAGAAACATCTACTTCATCTTTATGAACTATGCCAAAGCCTTTGTGTGGATCACAACAAACTGTGGAAATTTCTTAAAGAGATGGGACTACCAGTCCAACTGACCTGCCTCCTGAGAGATCTGTATGCAGGTCGAGAAGCAACAGTTAGAACTGGACATGCAAAAACAGACTGGTTACAAATCAGTAAAGGAATACATCAATATAGTGTCACCATGCTTATGTAACTTATATACACAGCACACCATGAGAAATGCTGGACTGGATGAAGCACATGGTGGAATCAAGATAGCTGGGAGAAATATCAGTAATCTCAGATATGCTTATGATAACATCCTTATGGCAGAAAGTGAAGAAGAACAAAAGAGCCTCTTGATGAAAGTGAAACAGGAAAGTGGAAAAAGTTGGATTAAAACTCAACATTCATAAAATTAATATCATGGCATCCAGTCTCATCACTTCATGACAAGTAGATGGGGAAACAATGGAAACAGTGACAGACTTTATTTTGGGGGGCTCCAAAATCACCGCAGATGGTGACTGCAGCCATGAAATTAAAAGATGCTTGCTCCTTGGAAGAAAAGCTATGACCAACTTAGCATATTGAAAAGCAGAGACATTACTTTGCCAACAAAGGTCTGTCTAGTCAAGGCTATGGTTTTTCCAGTAGTCATGTACAGATGTGAGAGTTGGACTGTGAAGAAAGCTGAGCACCCAAAAATTGATGGTTTTGAACTGTGGTGTTGGAGAAGACTCTTGAGAATCCCTTGGACAGCAAGGAGATCCACCCAGTCTGTCCAAAGAAAATCAGTCCTGAATATTCATTGGAAGGACTGATACTGAAGCTGAAACTCCAATACTTTGGCCACCTGATGCGAAGAACTGACTCCTTGGAAAAGACCCTGATGCTGAGAAAGATTGAAGGTGAAGTATAAGGGGACGACAGAAGATGAGATGGTTGGATGGCATCACTGACTCAGAGGACATAAGTTTGAGTAAACTCTGGGAGTTGGTGATGGACAGGGAGGCCTGATGTGCTGCAGTCCATGGAGTCGCAAAGAATCAGACACGACTGAGAGACTGAACTGAACTGAACTGAACCACATATACTTTTTGTGTAGCAAAGTTCCTGTTTCTTCTTCCCCAAAGCTGGAATATTGTTATCTGGTATTTTCTAATCTTGACTCCCCCATTACCTAACAGTCTGACCTTGGGAACATTGCTTCACAACTCTTGGCTTCATACTCATCATTTGCAAAATAAGGACAATGATGGTAACTATTTTATTGCTAACAAGGATTAAATGTGTTCAGTTCAGTTCAGTTCAGGTCAGTCACTCAGTTGTGTCCGACTCTTTGCAACCCCATGAATTGCAGCATGCCAGGCCTCCCTGTCCATCACCAACTCCTGGAGCTTACTCAAACTCATGTCCATTGAGTCGATGATGCCATCCAGCCATCTCATCTTCTGTCATCCCCTTCTCCTCCTGCCCCCAATCCCTCCCAGCATCAGGGCCTTTTCCAATGAGTCAGCTCTTCACATGAGATGGCCAAAGTATTGGAGTTTCAGCTTCAGCATCAGTCCTTATGTGTTAATACATGTTAAAACAATTCAAAGAGTACCTGGAACATAGCACTAACAAAGTGTTAGCTATATTAATAACTAACATACTCGATTTTTGAAAATGACAGCTTTTTTTTTTTTAAACTCATTGCCGCTGATGGAGAGAAAGTCTTTCTACAGCTAGAGGTCAAAAGCTTAAAAGTGTTAAAGCACTAGAGAGTTAATACATTTGTGTGAATAAGTTTTAGTCAAAGTGAAAATGAGGGCCTTAGACAGTTTGCAGTTTCAATGGTATATGGAGTTCAAAGGTGGCCGAGGCACCTACAAAATGAAAGGAAATGAAACTGGGTGGGAAAAGTTTCCAAAAGAGGACGCAGGAGGCTTAGGCAAACTTCAAAGAATTTCCAGTTTTTTTGGAGGAGGTCATGGAGAGGACAGGACTGCCAGCTGACCCCGGCTCCACACCCGCTCCCTGTCCTTGAAATGTACGTTCTGCTCACTGTGCCCACACTGGGAGCTGTTTCAAGGACAGAGCCTTGAGAGAGTAAGGGGCTGTTGAGACCTTTTGGATGGAATATGTGACTGAACCCCATTAAGAATTCTATATAAAGCTTTAAGATTCTCGGGGAGGGGGGTAGTTCCTTGTATGGAAATCTACTCATCTTGCAGCCTGACAAGTTTTGCAGGTAAGTTCCCTGCTTATTCACACTGTCATCTACCAATCTGGAGTGGTCAGCACTTTCTGCAGCCTCTCCCCGCCCTCCTTGTATGGGGCCCATGAGCCAACAGGGCTCTGTTCACTGCTGCTGCAGGAATAAACCCGGAGGTGTGACTGAGGTGCTCCTTTCTGGCCTTATTATGAAAACACACCAAGCCTGCAGCTTGGTCCTGCCCTGGATCTGAGGAGGCTGAGACGGACGTTCAGCCCAGCTGTGAACTGTCTGGGCAGCATATACTAAGAAAACTGGCAGCGAGACAGATGTGGGGCTGAGCCAAGGATATCTGTGTTATGTGCTGCTTGCCCGGGGCTAAAAGCTCAGTGCAGGGATGGCTGTGAGTAGGTTCTAGATAAGACCAGATGGTCAAGCTTGATTGGAAAGCAGAGATGTCCCAGACACTGGGGCCAGACTGTTCCCAGGCAAATCTGTTTGGGGCACACATAACTCTCCTCGGTGGTGAATGTGTTCCAATAACTTGTGCTGGGGTTTATGAATTTGACTCAGGGTTGCTTCACTTTCTATTTTCAAACTGTTCTAACTCTGAGGCAGCTCACAGGTGTGTATTTAACTTCTAAGTAACATACATTTCTCAGAAAAGGGAAAAGACATTGCTTTTTCAGGTTTTTTGCTTAGACCTAATTTTACATGTTTGATGAATATGTGCAAATTTTCTCCCCAACTATTTATGATTTATAGACTTCTGTCTAAATGCCTCACAATCATTACATGTTGATTTTTTCATATTTCAAAATACAGGGGAAAAATTCACCAAAAAGTAGTATAACAACATCTACTGTACTCAGCTCTATTCTAGCATTTTGTCAAAATTGATTCAGATCTTATAAAATAAAAACAAAATATTACAGAAACAATCAGAATTTCCTGAGTACTCCACCACAGTAGTTCTTCCATTTTTTAAATGCAGTCGTCTTTCCATGAATATTTGTGTATTGTTATATATGTGTACAAAATAACTATTACGCTTTTAAAATTTTATATATAGTAAATTATATATAAATTTGCTTTTATATTAACATATATGTCTTGGAAATTACTCATTTTATACATTGTTATGGTAATTAACCTGAGTTTCTATAAGA